TCTGACCTGTGTGTCACTGATTACTGCCACTTTAACTTGACCTGTTCTGACCTGTGTGTCACTGATTACTGCCACATCACTTTAACTGACCTGTTCTGACCTGTGTGTCACTGATTACTGCCACTTTAACTTGACCTGTTCTGACCTGTGTGTCACTGATTACTGCCACATGACCTGTTCTGACCTGTTCTGACCTGTGTGTCACTGATTACTGCCACTTTACTTTAACTGACCTGTTCTGACCTGTGTGTCACTGATTACTGCCACTTTACTTTAACTGACCTGTTCTGACCTGTGTGTCACTGATTACTGCCACATCACTTTAACTGACCTGTTCTGACCTGTGTGTCACTGATTACTGCCACATCACTTTAACTGACCTGTTCTGACCTGTGTGTCACTGATTACTGCCACTTTACTTTAACTGACCTGTTCTGACCTGTGTGTCACTGATTACTGCCACTTTACTTTAACTTGACCTGTTCTGACCTGTGTGTCACTGATTACTGCCACTTTACTTTAACTGACCTGTTCTGACCTGTGTGTCACTGATTACTGCCACTTTACTTTAACTGACCTGTTCTGACCTGTGGGTCACTGATTACTGCCACTTTACTTTAACCTGTCTGATTATTATTATAAGACTCTGTAAGTACGTCTGTAACCCTGCTCTTATTGTCAAGTTCTGTTGGTTCTGTTGGTTCTGTTGGTTCTGTTGGTTCTGTTGGTTCTGTTGGTTCTGTTGGTTCTGTCAGTTCTGTTGGTTCTGTCGGTTCTGTTGGTTCTGTCAGTTCTGTTGGTTCTGTCATTTCTGTTGGTTCTGTTGGTTCTGTCAGTTCTGTTGGTTCTGTCGGTTCTGTTGGTTCTGTCAGTTCTGTTGGTTCTGTCATTTCTGTTGGTTCTGTTGGTTCTGTCAGTTCTGTTGGTTCTGTCGGTTCTGTTGGTTCTGTCAGTTCTGTTGGTTCTGTCATTTCTGTTGGTTCTGTTGGTTCTGTCAGTTCTGTTGGTTCTGTCGGTTCTGTTGGTTCTGTCAGTGCTGATTGGTTCTGTCAGTTCTGTTGGTTCTGT